CTATACGCAAAAAATTGGAATAATGGAGCGCACCATTGGATAATATTTATAAATAGTGGGCCAGACATTGCTTCGCTATTGCAGTGTATTGCACATCACAAACTACTGGGCACGTGATTGTTAATCACGTTTGCCGCTAGGCTGTGAAAACATTCTAATAGTTGAAAAACTTTATCGCAAGTATGGGTATATTCTATGTCCTGGTATGGGCATGATTGTCAAGTATCCTATTGTGAAAACGTTCTCCCTTAAATTTGGGAATGCGTTCGCTAGGCCACTATCTTGGAGAAATTTGATTTACTTGTCCGAGATTCAAGTAATAATTCCGGCCGACATTTCACAATCGCAGGGGCAACGCTTAATCCTGTGACTGTGCGTCTGTCTGTGCGGCGTGTTGCGAAGCGATCAGGGGCGCTTGAATCATAAACGAATAAATCATCAACGCCCCCACATGTCCGATTTAATTCAAACCTCTCTTTCAACACTTCCATTATGAATAAGAACAAAGTGTGAAAATTTCAGAGAAATAGGTCGAGTAGTTTTTGTGTCTATGTGCGACACACATACGCACATTCCCTTTTATATATATATATATATATATATATATATATATATATATATATATATATATATATATATATTTCATTGCTAGGCAATTTATGTTGCTATTAGAACAGCGTTTTCAAAGAATTACAGTAGGGATTATGTTGCTTTTATGAGAGAATATATTTCGCTTGGACAATCATAGGAATGCCAAGAATCGAGGAGTGAAATAAGCCATATTCCACATTTTTGTGAACAAAATCATAATTTAATCACCACGAAATTGAGAATTGTGTTTCGCGCCTCAGTGTAAACTTCTGGACACCGTTTAAATGATATTCTCTAGTCTAGACCCATTATTCAACCTGAATTAATTGATATTCTCTTAAGATTTAGAATTTTCAAATGCACCTTTCCTGATGTAGAGAAAATGTATCATATGGCTCGATTAAATGAACACACTAGTTATCAGAAAATTCTATGGAGAGAGTACATTCCAGCTCCTCTAAAAACTTAAAAATTAAAAACTGTCACCCAAGCCATTGTGTCTTCAGCATTTTTGTTAACACGATGTCAGAAGCAAATTGTTATTGTCAATGTAACTTATTTTTCTGAAGCAGCCCTAGCCATTACCACTCCTTTCTATGTAAATGACTTTTTGCTTGGAGCAGAATCTGAGCTCATGGCAATTCAATTATTTAAACAAATATCAGACATGCTTTTAGAAGCTCTTTTTCAATTGAGAAAGATTAGAAACAATGCTGACACTATGAAAAACACTTCGCTTAGAGAATCCCCTGGGGAGGATCTTTTCGCATTAGGTTCAGACCATTCAAGTAAAATACTTGACCTTTTCTGACGTACAGGAAATGACGATTTGTATCTAGCTCGCAATGTTCAAACGTCATCTCTTGTCGGTTCCGGTGGTTGGACAAAGAGAAAGGGATTACATATAACAGCATCGCTTTATGATCCGTGTCTGGTCACACCTGTGACAATATTTAAACTTTTTTTACAGTTGTTATGGGAACGTAAGCTGGACTGGGATGTCACTCTAGCTCCAGACTTGCTTTATCAGTGGGACATTTTCATTTAAGTTCTACTGGCCAAATTCATTATGAATGTTTGTAATACAGTGCCTCTAGTTTGCAACGTCAACTCTATACATTCTTTACAGATATTGCTATTGGATTGGATTGGATGAAAGATGGTTCAAATAAATCAGATGGTTTGATTTCTAATAGACTTACTGTAATAAAACAGTGCTGCACTGCGAATCTCAAATCACGCGGAGTCACTGCCAGAAGACTGGCTACTAACGACAGATGGTTTCATGGCCCAGAATGGATGATCCAGCCGATATTTCAGTGAAACTCTCTGCATGAGGTCGCTGGGTATGGTAACGTACAATTACTACATCATTCAAAAACTTTTCTCATGACGCCTTGTGCAGAAGAGGAATATTTAGTCTCATAATTCACTAAAAAGTTCGTATCACAAATTCGTTCAACTCGTATCACAAGTTGCTGAGGATAACAGCGTATTGCAATCGAGTTATCAGTTTAAGACTAGGACTTAGGAATAGGACTATATTGCCAAAGAGATCCGGCCTTCTCTCTACAAATGAACTATGAAATGCCCTTCTATTAATTGCGAAATCAATTAAAAAAGAACCCTTTTCTGCTAAATACCACACACTTTCCAATAAAAGGGAAATTGCTAAAAATTAAAAGATTTTGAACCTTCATCCTTTTTAGAGAAGGATTATATCATTCGAGTAGGTTGTAGATTGAGACATATTCTAATGCCTCACGATGCAAAACACCAAATAATTCTCCCTCGCGAACATGCTTTCACGAGATCCCTCGTTACTATGATTCATTTCACATTTTTACATGCTGTATGTCAATTATTAATAGTAGCAATTGCCAGGCAAACATTTTGGATTCCTTCAGTTTGAAGGCTAGTGAATAGTATAATTCATTATTGCTTGCACTGCATTAGATGGCGAGCGAAGCCAGCCCCTCAAATAATTAGTTCACTTCGCGAATTACGCAGTCGAAGCCACGGGAGTTTACGTCGGTGGAGTACTGTGGACCGTTCCTAACTAAACCAATCATTGGTAGGTGCAGGGCACGTTGCAAATCGTGGATTGTTATATTCGAGTGTCATGCTACAAGAGCTGTTCACCCCGACATAGTGAAAAATTTAACCACTAATTTACAGCTGCTCTTAAAGATTTGTGAGTCCTTGAAACCGAAAAATCGAATGACGGCAAAACATGTCTCTGAACAACGCTAGCGGCTAAACCATCCACACGATTTTCTCCAAAATTGAAATTCCTCAATCGATCTGGCTGATGTCCAGTGGCTTGCTATCGCCGGCCTGGCAGGTGCTGTGACGTCACAGTGACGACCAGGTGACGTTATAGATAAGTTCGTCAAAGCGAAAATCCCCATTCTCAGCTCGATTCTGAATTTTGTAATTGATTATGATTAATGAAGTTTCTTTCAAATAGTTTTTAGTACGCTTTTCACTTTATCGCTATTGCTAACACAGTATAAAGAAAGCTATGTAATGCTGCTGGAAAAAAACGGTGAATTTTTGACACAAAAACTCTTAATGCCGGGCCCTCGTAACGAAAAAGTGGATAAATACAGTTGCTAAAAGAAAAAATCATCTAACTTTGTGGTATAGCCAGAATCCACGCTTTGCGGGTCCTTGATACCGTAAATAGATTGACGGCAAAACATATTTTCGTCTGTCAGTGAACAACGCTTGCGGCTAAACCGTTCAGGTGATTTTTTTCCAAAATTGATATCCTCCAATCGATCTTATTGATGTCGCGACCCCTTGAATATGAAACCTATATATTACTTTTAGGTAATAATTACTTTACATGAAGCTCATGGGACACTTTCAAAATAATGGGTCCATATTTTTTTTATTAAATTTCGTTGTCGGAGAGCGTAAAGAACTTTTAAGAGAAAACTTTGTTGAAAAATGTAAAAAATTCAAAATTTTTTCAGCGACATCCTAAAACTGCAATTATGAAGATAAATGTTATTTTCTTATTTAAATGTGTTTATTAAAAACATTTTCAAATTGGGGCATGTTCAGTTCGTCAAACATATAAGTACGCTTTTCGTCAATCATAGGCAATTTTTTAACTTTAAACAATTATTTTCACAGAAACGGCTCCAAATTTTCCTGTAATTTTTTCGCGTATGTAGCAAAAAACGTTTGAGGAGGTGCTGATCCCATTTACGGCGCACTCTCTGATTTTCGAAAATTGGAAACATTTTAAATGGTAAATTATAATTCTCCACACTTCGTTTAACTCACATGCAGTTCCCAAAATAACAACATAGCTGTTTCAAATTATTCGAAAGCATCTCCTAAATCCCGGATGTTTCTGAAAATCATATTTTTAATTACGAACTCTATAATATATTAATTACCAAATGTCCAGAAGACACAGTTAAACGAACAGAAATTTGACGATTTTACTTATCGTAATAAAGTATATTGTTTTGATGCATCACATTTCCGTTAAATTTAAGTTATTAGTAATTATTTATTGCTTTTTTGTTCTTAATGAGGCACATTTCTCTTGGAATTTCAATTAATATACATATTTGTCTCCTCAAACTGAAATGCTTCATAAGTATAGTGTTGCCAGACGTCCCAGGATCCATTTGAAAAAAAGGTCATGTTGAATTTTTCAAAAATTTGAGTAGTTTTCGCGTAATGTTTCGAGAAAATACGAGCGGGAAAGTACATGCTGCTTTAGCACCACTTGCTATACTGCGATGCATTTCTGCCCCTGGCAGGTATGAGCTGTTAAGTTTCGGATCATCATAATGACGTCACGTTTAAGCTCCCGATTGGATGAAATTTAACAGCTCATACCTGCGAAAGGGACAGAGTTGCGAAAACTGCAGTGTACTTACAAGTTTCGCGAGAAGTTAAAATTAAGTAACTGACAAATTGGGGGGAGGGGGGGGGATCATCATGCCCTGATCATGCCCCCTCCCCCCGTGGATCCACCCTTGATTATCAACATCATGCTCTCTGCTCTGATCAATACTATATCATTGTATAATGTGCTGTTTTGTGATTTATCAGGGTGTGTGTACAGGTATTAATATGCACAACTTGCAACATACAACTTGATTTAAAATATTTAAGTAGGCCTGTATATGATGCATCATAAATGCTTATGTGTTTTCCTTACCTGGCTTCAAATAAAAATATTTGTGTTACTTGTTTGCGAATTAAGTACAGGTACTTGAAAATCCTATTGTATGGTGTAAATGGCAGCCCTAAGTTACATTTAACCATATACGAATTATTACTGTACTTAATAATTCTTAGGGGTCTATCCTTAAAATAATGCTGCCATTCACACATGATACTAAAACAACGGTATTATCATATATTAATTAGCAAATATGTTATATGATTATTTATTTTTGAAGTCTTTCAAGGAAAACATACATAAACATTTATGATACATATTATATTAAATACCAGTATAGAAACCATAGACACTAATACAGCACATTAAACATTGATATTGTGGTGATAATAAATGTGTGTTAATAATAATGAAAAAGATAATAAATATGTAATTCATTATTATTATTATTATTATTTTATTGTACTTCTCATATTTTTGTGAAGTCCCTATTTAGGGGCAATTTTAACATTTTACTGTCCTCTGGTACACTCAAGTCGTAGTTTTATATAGGTACAAAAATTAATTAATTTTACAACAAATGCAGCTTTATTTACAACATAGGTATGTAGTTCACTCAAATATACATTAAAAGTTTTGACCTCTGTCACACTGAAAACACACACATGCACAACTTATAACTTATCAGGTACCTCAACTGTCATGTCACTCATTAAAGAATTACAATACAAAACGAAAAGCAAAGAGGTACATTGCAGAAGCACCTAGTGGAAGCTGGTAACTAACAATGGAATGCTTGGTACATGGACAAAGAAGTAAGCAGAATATTTTCATAAACCAGTAACTGTAATACCTTTTACAATTGCAATGAAATAATCGAGCACCTGACAGGAATAAAGCACAAATATATTACTTTTGAAATTTTTAACATACATAACAATATTATTTTATACTCTGATCATGGTTTTTTGTTTTCTTTTTCTTTTTTTTTGCAAAACATCTCCATTTTGCACATTCTTACAAAATATGAAAATAGAAATAAAATATTCAAATTAGGAGATTAATATGTAACTTAATAAATTACAATACTTATTATATGTTTTCCAACAAAATATTTCCTTGTGTCGAAACTACTGTGACTTGGTTTTGGACAATAAAATAAATCTCTTTTCTTTGTCATATGATCAGATACCACTGAAAGTAATTTAAATTGAATCTCTATCTTCACATTACCTGTATGGAGTGTAGCAATAAAAATTATGCTTAACACAGAAATATTTAAATTAATCAGTTGCAAAGAAATTACAAAATCAGTAGTATTTAATTTCTTCATGACTGTAAAACAACCAACTTTACCAACCAACAAAAGTAGGGCCTACAAAAGTAGACCAACGAAAGTAGGGCCTACTTAAGACATTTTTGAACAATGTTCAAAAATTTTTTTTCTAAATCTGTGAAATATATGGAATTTACAATCAAAGAAATTATGTTAATATTACAATTCTTATATTTAAAAATTTTGTAGGTTATCAGCCTGTATCATTCATGTTTTCCAGACTACCGTATGGTACATTAGTAAAAAAGTATATCTACATCTGTACCAGGGCTATAATTACCATGAGGTCCCCAAATTTAGGCATAACCAGAGAAAAAGTTTCAAATTTTTGATGGTGAATTTAATTAAAAATGAAGAATTTAACTTCACTAAAACATTTTCACTTTTCAATTCACTTTCATTTTTTCACTACTCAAACGAACTAAATTGGAATAAAAAATACCATAACAGCACAGATTGTCAAGATATTTATTAAAAAATTATTCATTCGATTGAAGGGTGTAGAGTTACTTTAATTGTCAAGAAAATGGTAAACCATCCCAGGAAATCAAGTGATGAGATTAGAAGAAACATTAAAAAGGCATGGAAAGTGATTATTATCCGTTCTCCCAGGTGTCCCAAGTCACTAATTACAGGTCTGTCCAGTTCACCGTTATTTCTGGGATGTCAAATACAACAATGTGCAATAAATCAGTCATCTAAACTATTTCCTAGAACCTTTCAGTAAATCTGTAACTGTTTTCTAGAGTAAAAAATTGAATATATGCCAGTATTAATTGTTAAATAATTGTTATTTTTCATTTCTGTTTGAAGAAAGCAGGGTACAGAATTAGAGATTCATCTTCACAGCAGTTGGTTTTGTGCAACAATTTTACAAACTATTTCATAATCTGAATTACAACTTTTCTGTACAAACTCAATTTATGATTTGATCAAGTAAAAAGCAATGTTCATAAAACAAATTGTAAAATATCTTTTATTTACTTATTGACATTTTGATAATTTATAATATAACTTCTTCGCTTTCTTCAAAATTCGGAATCCTAGACAAAATGGAATGAAACAAAAACATTTTTGAATCAGTTTACCATTTAGGACTCTTGTACACTCCAAAGATTCACAAATAACATTAAATAACTTTCAGGATTAATTTATTCTTCAAAGCTTTGGAGGCAGTTACATCTTTTCCATTTCTCATGAACATCCATTTTTGAATGGATAATAATTAGTGAATTCTGGATTGGCAGCATCATCAGTTCTCATTAGCATTTCAAATAACTTTCGATTTTTTAATTGACACTTGTTGGTTATGGACAAGTGAAATGTAAACATCTGAAAGTAGCCTGCAATTGCATTCTTTTTTTCTCTTTCACACTTCTCTGCATGCACACACATGCATAAAGAGTTCAATCAATATCACCCACAAGACAGATATAAACAAAATATTTTTTTAAGTTAAATATAAAAATGTTGAAAATTTTAATTTGGAAAATATTCTTATGTATAGATAATAAAGATTTAATACTATTTCAAAATTGAACTTTTTCAGAAAATGAAAGTACATCCACCGTAGAACTGAAGTAATGACTCATAATACTTTTTCTGAAACAAAAACAATATTTAATAATTCAAATTTTTTGAAATACCTATGAATCATCCTGATTGATAATCCTAACCGTGCCTCCTGAATTACTTCAAATGCTTTTTTATGTTCCCAAGATGATCAAATCTTGGAACAGTTTCATTGGTTTGTTATTTTATATTCAAATAATGTTTGATCATCTCAATAGCTTGGCCATAAAAGCAACTGGTTATTAACCAGGAAACCCAGGTTATTTTCTCGAAGAGAGTAAATAATGTTTAGAACAATTTGAATAATTAAATCTACAATTTACACAGGGTTTCATCACATTTACTGTATGAAACATTTTGAAAGCATTTGACATTCCAGCAAGAAGAAAGGGTAGCAACAATTAAGAATCAATGTGTTTGAATATGGATAATGTTTTTAGGTATATTACAAAGGATTTTGCAGGTTCATCTACTAATTTTGTAACACCAATTTTTGTCTCGACTTTTGAAGATAAGAGAAATGAACAAGAAAAAGTAATTTACGCAAGTAAATTCTAGTACAATTATAAAACATAAATCATTGACAAAGCTACCAAGGAAGAATTATTGCATGAGAAATTAATACCTGTACAATAAGTTAAAAAATAGCAAAAAGTACCTTTAAGAAAAGTACATTGTTTATCTTTATTTTGAAAAAGTATTTAACCTTTTGAAGTTAAAGTTGCCCTAGAAGAGTAAATTAGTTTAAACAAAGAAAATATTATTATTATTATTATTAAGTAGAATTAGTAACAAAAGCTCTTTCTCAATTGTATAAATATGATGGGAAAATTAGGAAATTGTTTTACACATTTTATGAAATAAATACTTTCAAGCAATATAAAACAAAATTAACAGAATTCGAGTAGCGTTGGAATAGCTTATGACACAAATTAAATTCCCAATATTTATAACACGTTGAGATTCTTGTTTTGATATTTAAAAGTTTGCAATTTTAACTATAATGTAAACATTTTTGATGGTACCAGAAATGTTCTCCCATCTGGATGAAGTAAAATATTTTCTTGAAAATTACTCTTAAAATATTATTTATAACATGCATTCTATATAGATATATATCTATAAAAAGAAAATATTATTATTTCATCACAATGCTACAATTTTTTAAGTTAAAAGAAAAGTTGGTGTCTGAAATTTTGAAAACATTGTTATGTAGGAAAACCTGTTGGAATATCATTGATTTATCCTTTAGAATTACTTTCCATATGATGGTAGTGAATAAAGTGATATTTAATATCCAATAAATAGAAGTAATTTCAATCTATGTCTAAGTAAAGAGAGTTCAGTCATAAAAAACAACTTGCTACAATAGAGCACGTTCTTAAATCTAAAAGTGATATTTCTCTATGAAAAAGTATAACAAAGAAATTGCATGTACTGGTATTACAGATCAATTATTGGAAAGGAGGCTGAATTATAATTGATATGGATGGTACAAATCAACTCTTAAATACATCCAAAGGGCTTGATAAGAAAGTTTACTTGTAATAGAATGTAAACAATTCACATTCTATCTTTTGAGGGTAAGCAGACTCTAATAGAACTCATGTTCAAGAAATTAAAAAATGTTCAATTTCATTTAACAATAAAAAATAAATAATTTTGACAAATGTATAATAATAGAAATAAAGAAAAAGTGTTTTCAGACTTTCAAATATGATGGAGAAATGACATTTCATCAAACACAATGTTACAAGAACAGAATATCATTGTTGGATAAAAACATACGTTCATAATGAAAAAGATTATTTTCATGAACAATGTCTATTGACACCTACTTTTCTAGGAACAATGTCTAGGTAATATTATCAATGATGAGAATGTTGAGTTGCCATTACAGGATTCACTAACCCTATATTCTTGTGTTTATTCTAATTTTTCTTTTTTTGGCAATAATCTAAGAAAATAAATTAAAAGATAACATTCGTAAGCGATTTCATTCAAAACCACACTCTTTTCATGTAGATGTATTTGTGATCACAGCAAATTAATGGTAAAGAGATTATACGGTAATATAGTTCCCACACAATGGAACTTTCAGTCACACAAAATTAAAAACCTGTACTTCATATCACACAGTTAATTTGTATTTCCCCTACATAGCAGGAGTATTTAAGTTTTTCTCTTCATCAAAAATCCACAGCATAAACTATGGATTATTCTTTGACCACAATTGACTTATTCTTGTTGCTTGATGACGACAGGCAAGAAAGAGAAGATGATACAATGGCATAAATGATCATGAACACAATATTACGATGTTTTTCCACTCATTTCCAACAATCACAACATGGACACAGCATTTGGTGTATCTTGTGTGCAATATTCATCAGAATCGTGCTGTAAACTTGCATATTTTGTTAGACCCAGTCCCAAAGCAGGGCCTGTGTTCGCATTGGGAGGTCTTAACAATGGCTCGTGCACACACCCTACCAGCAACTCTTCATTACCAACATCTTGCAATGTTGCACTGAACTCCCCATCACCAAGGAGGGGAGGCAGTGTGCAGGGACTGCCCATGTTGCGGTTGGGGTAGCCGGCAGCGCTGCCATCACTGGGTGCAGAGCTCCTTCGCCTCCTCACAGGGAGGCCAAGTCCTCCTCCCCCTTCCTCTGGTTGCACTGCTGATGCTGGCACATCCAAATTGGGAGTGATGAGACGTGGATTGTTGGCAATAAATTCTACTATTTCAGATGCATGTGGTCGTGCCTTATAGTCTTTATTCCAACATGAATAAATAAGCCCTTCCCTGTGCATAAGAACAAGATAAATTTATTTTTTTTCACAACAATCATTTTTCTCATACAATCTATAATGCTATAATTACTATATTCCTGTACACTTTATTCTTTCAAAAACAAGTTAGTGATGGGAAGTAAGATTCAAGTTCATTTTTCATTAATCGTGTACAAGCTAAATTCCAAAATTATGTAGCAGCATTTTCTGTGATTGTAGTTGTGTATACATGTATGAGAAGAATACATTTCAAATTTCAATGAATTGATTAATTTATTAATTTTTTGTTTTAAGTTACTCACAGTTGTGGCTTTATACCCTTAGGTACTTTTAAGGTATATCCCTCCTTGACATAATCCAGCACTTCATTGTTACTCATGCCTTGGAATGGGAAACTTCCAAATGTTATCACTTCATAAAGCAGAACTCCAAAGGACCAAATGTCGGAGGCAGGGGTGAAAATGCCCAGGGCTAGGCTCTCGGGAGCCATCCAGCGTACAGGCAGCATTCCTGCAGCCAACCAGAGGGGAAAAGCATTTCTAAGTCATCAGAAATGGGAGAGAAAATTCCTTTCCCGGAAGATAACAAATAATGTTTTACGAAGTAATTTTCACGATGCAACAATGGAACACACAGGTACCATCGAGGCAACAGTCTGTCATATGAACTTGTAATCAAAAAATTTAATCTCAACGACATCACTGAAAGTTTGTTTTATTTTACTACTATTTAATTCTGCAAAAGTGTTTGCACATAAGAAAAGTATTTTTGCACTAAAAGAACTTTTATGTTCTAGACTATGTATTTAATTTTTAAAGGGTAGAGAAACTTCATTAATGTAGGAACAGATTGTTGCACATTATGGAAAGAATCCTACATGCTCACAATTGCCTTGGAAAGGAACACACAAATTTCAAGTCAAGAAAGGAATGAAAACAATATATTAAATCAATTATTATAATAGCTACTATTATTTAATAACACTCAAACAAAATATATTTTACCTTTTCTGTTGAATTTGTAATAGTCATTTTCAAACATTGGTCTTGTCATGCCAAAGTCACCAAGTTTGACAGTACGAGCAGCATTCACCAAACAATTACGAGATGCTACATCCCTTAACAAAAGGAAAATACGTTTCAGAAAACAGTCATGTAAAAAATAGTGGTGCTCTACAGACTTTCTTGTACTAGTTTTCTAATTTCTTTGATCTGGGCTTGCTTTTTGGTCATGCCCCTTCCTTTTGCAAGCTGCAAAACGCCTTTTTCAAAGTACATTTTTTGAATTTTTCTCAATTTTTCTATTTCCTAATGGTAGAACTGAAATATTACTTTAAGAGAATTACAGAAGAGTAAAAACTCATCATGTACAGAAAATTTTGTTGAAAAATTTGGAGCCATTGTCAAAAAATGTTGTTTAATTGTTAGTGAAAATGTGACATTGAAAGTTCTTTTCAAGAGAAAATTTGTGTTTTTCAAAAACTTCATTAGAAGTTATTTGAAGCACTTCCACTTACAAATGCAATGATAAGAAAAAAATGGTTCAAATGTGCTTATTAACAACATGAGAGTTAATTTGAAGAAAAATTACATTTGTGAAATTTTTGAAAAAACAAAAGATTACAGCAATATGACTTCAATCACTTTAAAGAATACAGCACTATCTGTACAAAAAGTTCAAAGAAACAATTCTGATCCATTATCGAGAAAATGACATTTCAGCATTTCTAAAAAGATGTAATTTTTAGCTTAGAAAACTTTAGAGTTTTTGAGAAACTTTGATTTTGTAGGAAAACATGTGTTCACATGTCCATCTGTATGTCTGTCCATCCATCTGTGAACGCCACTAACACCTAAACCATAAGTAGGAAATTTTTTGAAATGGATATTTCCTTTCTTCAAAATTTGAGAGTTCTTTACATAAAGCCCCTAGGACAGTTTCAAAATTTTCTCAATAATAGCTCAAAATTTTTTCTTCATATTTTTTGAAAAAATAGACAAAAATACACTTATGAAGACAGCATTGTCCATTTTTCAATATTTACTTTTCAATTTTCGGAAATTTCAAATTTTTGAATTTTTTTCCAGTGTCTTCCTGCAACTACAAAATCGAAGATAGAGATTTTTCCTTCAAATCAATTTGTTGTCCATAACTAGTACTTTCATTAAGGTCATGTACACTTTTTAGAAAATTTTAGTAGTTTTCCTGCAATATTGTGTGTAATATTAAAAAAATAATCAAAACAAGATTTTTCTCAAAAACGGCGCCAAATTTTTTCTTTAAACTTTTGGTAGGGATAGTGCTAAGTGTGCTCAAGGATATGACATAAACGCCATTTTACTCTAATTATGTTTTTCAAAAATTACAAAAATTAATATTTTGACTTGTCTCTCACATTGTTAATATTTATATTAGTGGTGATTTGTTCACATTATTGTATTTATTATGTGTGCTTTAAATAAGATCATATAAAGTTTCTAAAAAATTCAAGTTTTCTGTGAAAATGAGCTCAAAATTACGTATTTTCAGAAACGCTCAAACGTCGTTTTCTCAGAAATGGCTCCAAGTTTTGTCTTTAAATTTTTCCAATGGATAGTGCTAATTGTACTGTTTAATATGTCAAAGTTCATTTTGGGGTATTCTTCAGTTTTTTCAAAAATTACACAAATGTAGTTTTTTGAAATGCCTCTCGCACCTTTCATAAGCATATTTCCAGCGAATAGTAAACACGAGTGAATTTGTGCTTCAAATCACTTCTGACCTTTTTCAAAAACTAAAAATTTTTCTGTGAAATGGATCTTGAAAATTCGCATTTACAGAAATGCTGAAACGCCACTTTCTTAAAGAAGGCTCCAAATTTTTCAATGAAAATTCCCATTTAGGATGAGGTTTTATACCTCTTTAATATTCTTCAAGTAATATTTCGGATCTACTATTAGGAAACCAATATATTGGGAAAATTTAAAAAAAATGTGTTTTGTGTGGCAATAGATGGCAGCTGGCTGAGGTACATGGCAAGTCCGTAGTGGCATTTGTGTATGTGAGGGGCTTTATGTACAGCCTCTGTGCTCCTCAAAAAGAAAATATCAGTTTCAAATTCCAGGGGCTGTGACATCAGCCAGAACGATTGAGGAATATCAATTTTGGAGAAAATTGACTGAACGGTTTATGTGCTGATGTTGTGGATGGATGGATACACAGATGTTTTGCCGACAATCGATTTTTCGGTATCAAGGACGCACAAAACATGGATTATGGCTACACCACATGTTATAGGATTTTTTTCTACTGGATCTACTGGATTTTATCAACTGGATTTATCAACTTTTCCATTACCAGGGCTTGGTAATATGAGTTTTTGAGAAGTAAGCAAGAAAGTAAAAAGAAGTTACTGTGACAAGAACTGGACTGGTCTTGGTCATATTTGAATTTTGCTAGAAAATTGTTGGATTAATCTAATTTCTGTAGAAATGTAAGATTTTCTAATGCAAATTGGAATGTGACAAAACCAGTTTTTGTGAGTTCTCATGATAATAGACTTAGCACGAATTTCATAAAAGAAATTGTATTTATCTTCAAATGTACTTTTTTTACTATTTTGATTTTTTTATTAGATCTTCACTTATATAACACTAAGTAAATAACATACAATACACACTTTGTTGGGAACAAACAACTCAAATTTTTATAAAACTTAAATAATAATACTAGAGTCATTTTAATGAGTTATAACCGTATGTGTGGATAGGAAAAGCTTTCAGTAATGTTAATGTCTCACCTGTGAACATATTTCAGTTCAGCTAAATAACTTAAAGCTCTGGCTACATCTAATGCCATTGAAGTAAGCTTCTTAGACGATATGTCATCAGATTCTTCCGATAATCTTTCATTCACCAAATGTCGTCGAGCCAAAAGATAAGTCTTCAGATCTCCTGGAATTTAAATATTAAAATTGGTAAGTAGGCTTGAAAAATATTTTCATGACTTAGAATTTACTTTTCTGTAAAACACCCTAATATTACATGCTATAGGTTTCTTTAATAATTTTTCCCTTTCCAATAATAATAAAAAATAAAGTATTACTGGTAAAAAATAAAGTGGTACTAAGAGTTCGAACTTCGTACCATATAGCATAAATTCCATTACAGTATAAACAGGTTCATTTTTAGTGCAGACTCCAAGTAACTTCACAACATTCTTATGCTCAAAACGTTTCATGACTTCTGCCTCGCTGAGGAAATCTAATTTTTCCTCAGTCGTGGAACCAACTTTCAATGTTTTAACAGCAACAGCAACCTGCAACAAAACTTGTAAGAAATATTGTGCAATGGTTACATTTAGTTTTTTCAACCAACATCAAAATATTTTCTCTACCACAGAATTTGAAAAGATTTTGAAAGTTTGAAATACCAAAGATTTTGAAGTTTACACCACCCTATTGTCTACAAAAACAAGGGCAGCCATCATGAAAGGAATAATATTATTAATGTGTAAAAGAAAAATGTAAACACATGTTGACATTCATCAGAATCAGGATATTATTGATTTGTCGATCGTATAACACAAATAAATAAAAAAATAAATAAGTAAACAAACAAACTCACCCAACCCTTTTCCGGAAAATGGGCTTCTCCACCATACACTGTGCCAAAAGCACCTTCTCCCAGTTTTCGATTAATGACAACATGATCTCGAGGTATCTCCCATTTATCAAGGTCTGATGCCACCAATAAGTCAATGCCAAGTGATTTCATATAATTTTCTGTTTGTCTTACTTTGTGTTCATACCTGAATAAAAAAAGAGTATTACATATTTTAAATTGCATCTGTCTCCATTGGTTCACTTGAATGATAATTGTTTACAAAGGTATGTTTTGTAGCTGGATGAGAATAATTTTTTTCTCTCCTGTGTAGAGTAGAGTACAGAGTATTCCACAAACTACGAACACCTCAACGTATAATTTGATTAATGTTTCACAATAACAAAATTTAGTTTTGCTCAATAAAACTGAATAATAGTGCAAGTAATTTGTCTTAGTGCTATTGTTTGATTTTTTATTTTGAGAGATCCTGCTTTTATTTTTAAACAGAACACTCTCGTTTTACACCTGCAATGGATAAAAAAAGAAAAATATTGTTATATCATTTGTTAATGTTTTAAAAGAAATATTTTGTTTAAGATATAGCCTATTTCTATTTCAAGATCATAAAGTACTTGTTACAGTTCTTGTTATTTTGTTTTAAGTGCCTTTGGATGGTGAGAAAAATTCACCACTGACATGACCTTTTCCTTGTCCATGTTGTGGTGTTGAGACTTTTGCAAATTCCTTTTACCTTCCCAGTAATCTTTGCGAGTGTTTTCAGATTTCATGAACATTTTATGATAAATATAGATCTAGTGAAGAAATTTACCTTTTAATGAAAAATTACTTCAGAAACATTAAAATATATTATTGGTTGCAATAGGTATCTTTTTATGTCTATTGCACATGGGTCAATCCATTTTAAGTGTTCTAGCACTGGTTGCTCTATCATATCAGATAAATATCATTCCTTATATTTAAATTCTGTTATGATTTGGTTGTTCACAAATGACAGTTCACAAATTTTAGTTTTAAGCACCATGAAATTTTTTGCATTTGTAGATATTTATGGTGTTGTAAATTCGTCTAGCTTTCTAAAGTACAATGCATTGGATTCAGTACACTGGCTTACAATTTAAAGTGATATTTACCTACCTAAATCATTCGAGTTAAAAATCAGATTGAGTTAAAATTGGCTTAAAAAAGAAAAAGAAAATGATTCTCCTTGTCACCACTTCTCTCCAATGCAAAAATATATTTAAAAAAAATGGTTTTGAAAAACCAAAATATAAGGGAATTTATATGCAAAGTATGATTATTTCTATGACAAGAAGGCGACCAATCCTGGACCACTTAACGTAATTAGAAAAAACTTTATTTCTAGAAAATTTTCATTTGTTTTGTTATTCTTTTATAACAAGAATTCAAATAAAAAAATGACAGGAAGATCAATTATAACTGTAAAGGCAATTATTATCAACTATATTGATTAATGCCATTTTACTTGCCCTAAATTATTGTTACACCAAACCCATATGTGAGTACTGTTGATGAATCATTAGGGATTGTAGATGGTGACCATAGATGGTGGAATTCTCCGATTGCAGTAAAAAAAATGTATTTTGACCCTTTCAGAGATTTAAAACAAACAGCAAAATACTTGATTCCTAGCCCAAAAAAAATCTAGTTACAATCAATTGAAATTGATTGATAGACAGGGCGAATTAAAGATTGTGTGGACAAACGAACGATTGCGTGGACAAACGAACGATTGCGTGGGCAAACGAACGATTGAGTGCGCAAACGAACGATTGAGTGGGCAAACGAACGATTGAGAGGGCAAACGAACGATTGAGAGGGCAAACGAACGATAGAGAGGGCAAACGAACAATTGAGAGGACAAATGAACAACTGAGAGGACAAATGAACAACTGAGAGGGCAAATGAATGATTGAATCTAAATGTTGAATTAAAAAACAATTAAATAAAAGATTGAATCTTCAAACAAATGTATGAATGATTGAATCAACAAAATATTGAATGCATTAATGATTGGTTAAATGAATGAATGAACACATTTTTAACTTAAAAGGAGATTTTCTCCCCTTTTTTCAATTGCATTTCATCTATTTCTATTTACTTACCTTCGTTTAACAACGAGAAATCCAATTATCAAGAATATTCCTAGAAGCCCAAAGCCAATAACATTAGCAACAATAATAGCAGCTTCACAATTTCCATTCATCAACTTAGCCAAACTTGCCAACACACAGCCAATTGGTTCCTCTGTTCCATCTTCAGGCTTTACTCCTTTAGGTGTTAGCCAAACAATCTTTGATGCATTCAAACAGCACCTGAAAGGTTCAAAGTTAAATTCTATTTCTTATTGGTGAATGTTCTTTATTCATAAAAGGAAACTTAAAGAAAGAAAGTTTTAGTTTAGGAACAAATTTTCAAATGTCAATTCTATAATCACTTTTAGTCATAATTTTTAAATTTGAATAACCTGCAGCTTGAAGATCTTGCCTTTTCTTTAAAATCAAAATTAACTTACTCCAAAACTTACATTAATCATAGATTTAAAAACTCAAAATTCTGCTATTGTTAGTTCTCAAAAGACAGTATCTACCCTTGCCATTCAGTTATATCTAATTCTGTTTCTTAATACAGTAAAACAATACAATTGATTTCTAAGGTCTTGGAATTACATTCACAGTTTTTTCATTCCTTTCTGATATGCAATAGAGAGAAAGTTATGATATGAAGCTGAACAACACAAGCACCAAAAACCATTCCCACGATTTTCATCACTATTAATATTCCCAAATTGATTGGGCCTGACTCAAGGTCTTGCGGATTTAATACAAATCTTTCTGAAAGGTTCTCAAAAATGGTAATATAATGGCTCAGGTCTGAATTTCATCTGAACCACTTAAATTTCACAAATTACAAAAGTTAAACATTTTTGGCTCCCTCAACTATATTATTGAAAATATATTTTTTTAGTGAATGATATGTTCTTCAAAATTACATTTATTAATGTTCATTATGAATTTTTCAGAATAGGTTTTACTTAATTTTGAGTGATTTTAGGACCATTTTCAAAAAACCAAAAACAAATTTTTCTCAAAAAAAGTTGCAATTTTTTTATTAAACTTTTGTAGAATGTACTACATGTGAACACAAATCCTTGAAATAATTGTTCATTAATTTTCTCAAAATCTCAGAAGTTTACAAATGTAAATTAACTCAAAATGGTACTTTTTCAGAAATGCTTTACTGAAATTGTCACCTAAACAACTCCAAATTTCACCCCCAGAAATTTCCAAAAGGAAAGAGCTTTTGCTCGTCA